GGTAATTAGCACGATACCCAATTAGCCTCCCCACCATGTCCTCCTCCCACTAACATCTAGAGACACAAAGAGGTGCCAAGAAATGGGGTGGGGGGGTGATTAAGAGAAAACAAGGGGTAGAAGGGGGGAGATAAACAGTTTGGTGTCATCGCTGCTATCAATCTCAATGAGACGGAAATTAGGTTTAGAATAGAGAAATATTATTACAAAGCAGACAGTGATGAACGAGGCAGCTGATGGAGAGGCGGTAGCTGGGTGGAGGTATAAAAGGCAGAGCAGGGTTGAAAATTGGAGTTTCTGTGAGATGTCTGACATAACAAGACTCAAAGTTCACCTCTGTGAATGCACCGTGACCTGTAAGAGAGATCTGTCAGGCCGCAGCCTCACACCAGTTACCCAGTTAGCAGAAAGGGAATTGCATAACCGCGATGGTGGAGTCCTCCTCCGTCAGACTGCAACGTGAGCGTCTGCAAACCTAAAGATGTTGTCTCAGTAACCTCCACCCCACGGAGTGAGGTAATAAACCCAGGGTTTAGTGAAAATCCACCCTGGTGACCTGCCTTTCACAGAGCTGAAGCCGACTTTAGAAGGTATACAAGAGAGTTCACAGGCTCCACACAGGCTGACTACCCTCCAACCTGTGTCGGCTCAACACTGTTCTCCAGGAGCACTGGCCTTCTCACCAAAACGCAGAAGTGCTGGTTAAGGCTGGTGTACGACACAGTTCCCATGTAAAGTGTAGGCTGTTTCTAATTAACAAATGCTTTTTTTACAAACACCATTTCCACAAACGTTGCTTCACGTATAAAAATGTCATTAATCACGTTGCCGTAGTAGTCAACCAGTGATTTGGTTCCGTTTTTTTTTTTACATCAGATTTCTTTCCTGACACATTCCAACTTAACAATGAGGTCGAGAGGGAATGGAACACAAAAGGTAAAAATTACAATAAATATTAAAACTGTGTGGTCATTTAAATGAACTTGTATATAAAAAGCAAATTACCTAAAAAAAAACTTAATTAAATTTAATATTAATAATAATTAAATCCCTTATTCATCCCACAATGGGGAATTTTAATCCCAGGACTTTCTGCTCTCTGCTTTTAAGACAGGTGTGGTAACCACTGCACTATGGGGCCACCAATTTAAAAAACAAATAACCCCCTCTCCCCACAATGTTATTACATTTAAAAACCAGCCTGCTATTTCCAAAAAATGGTAGAACAGAGGTGAAGAGTGACGTAACAAGATCCAGGCGACCAGGAGAATGTTTTTGGCGTAGAGGCCAAGGGCGGGAAACAGGGATTTAGAAAATGAAAGCAGTTACAGGAAGGAGGGACTATTCTGTCATCTGTTCTCTTCTGTTATGGTCTGCTGGACCACTGATCGTGTTCTGAGGTCAGTTACATCCATATTTCTGACCGTTTGGGGGAATAAAAGGTCAGTTTATTGTTATCAGCTAAAAGTAAAAAGCAACATCTGCAGCCACGGTTTTGTGGACATTATGGACATATGTTCAACCGGCCTATCAGCAGTCTGGATAGTCTACTATTGACAAAGTCTAGTCAACCATGAAATGAATCATCAAAATAAAAAAAAGGGAAATTTAATTAAATCATTTATATATAATATGAATTGCCAGTGAAGAAAGTCTTTTCTTTTTTCATCCGATGAAGAAAGATTTATGGAAGTTTTTGATTTTAATTGCTATTGTATATTTATTTTTTAAAGGTATACCATTATTTTTCAAAAACACACTGTATTTATACACAGCTAGAGACTCAGCATTACTTTTCCTACTGTGGAGGATATCATCATTCTGCTGACGATATGAGTGAATTTCGAAAAGTGGCTGAAAGTCGAGGGGCCTTATTCCAAACATCTGTTTAATAACTGGATGGAATTCCACAGAATTTCTCGAGGTTTTAGGAGAGAAAGAAGAAATCCACGAGACGCACTTGAGTTTATTGTGTCTAAATCCCCTCATTTCCATAACAGATTGAGACCAGGGAAACAGAAAAACCCAAGGTATACCTCATCTTTTATATGAAGATAAAAAAAGAAATAACCGTGTGTTAATTTATTTCTCAAACATATGGGGAACAAACAGGAATGTAAATCAGATCTGAGCCTTTTTCGGTCTGAAGGTTTGAAGTGAACTATTGTTTTTCTTTAACCTTAAAGAAGCCACTTTTGAATCGTTTTGCAGCAAAATGTCATTAAAAAACATTTCTTATGCAAATGATGGCCTGAAAAACTTTTGCCTGGAAGGCAGTTGACTGTGTAAATGAATCAGGCTGGGGGATGGGTCGCCGAGGTAATTTGATTTGTTTTCTCATTTGAATTTAAGAATATATACATACATTTATTTAATTTTTTTACACCCTATAAAATAAAATAATTTAACCAATACAGACGCACCACTGCACAGTGTGACTGCTTATATTCATGAAAAAAAAAAGGTCTGTTTTCCCCATGAGCACGGTGATGGAACTTAAAACAAATGATGGACTGAAAATATGATCTGAACGCCAGCGAGATCATTTCCCACCACCGAACTATTTCGTCAAAACAATCAATAATTAATGTCTAATATTTCCTGTGGCCTAATATGTAAAAAACACTCCACCATAGAACTACAACTCCACCAAGTCAGGAGAAGGGGCTTATGGGGAAAAAGATTGCGTAAATTCCCCTAAAATTCTTATGCACATTCCTAAATTCTTAAAAATGTTAATGTGTCACAAAGCACACACCTGCTGTGGTGGGGAGGGGGGGGGGGGGGGAAGGGACTGGTGGGAAGGATGCAGGGGAAAAAAAGA